CCCTGGCAAAGTGAAAGCCATAATTAAATGGCAACCCCCAACGACTCGAAAGCAGCTTCAAAGCTTTCTGGGATTTGCAAACTTCTATCGTCAATTCATTCCTTCCTTTTCTGAAATTGCTTTACCTCTAACAGATTTATTAAAAAGAGGTAAAGATGGGGGAAAGCCACGACCAGGCCAACCACTAACATGGACTGTGAGCTGACAAATCGCTTTTGAGAATTTAAAAAGACTTTTTGCGGCCGAGCCGAGCTTAAAGCACCCCTGTCCGGGGAACCATTTGTGATTCAAGGCAATGCTAGCGATGTTGCAGTTGGAGCAATACTTCTGCAAAAGAATAATACGGGGGTCTTAAAACCCTGCGCCTACACCTCAAAAAAATTCACTGATTGCGAGAAGAGGTGGGCAGTTTGGGAGAAAGAAGCTTTTGTAATTTGTTGGGCTCTGTTAACCTGGTGGCACTACCTGGAAGGGAGCAAGGTGCCTTTTGAAGTATGGACTGATCACAAAAACCTAGAAGCACTGCAAACTCCTTGCAAACTTTCCCCCAAACAAGTACGATGGGCGCACTACTTCAATTGATTTAACTTCACCCTAAAATACACACTGGGGGGGGGGGAGATAACTTTTTGGCTGATGCTTTATCCAGATTGCCTCAGTATAAAAGCCAGCGTGAGCAAGTCAATTATTCGATCATGCCTATGGCACAGATCGTTTCTCAATTAACACCGCAGAAAACCCCGTCTAAGCAGATCTGGGCCCAGATGACCCCCGTAATGAGAAAGCTGAAGCACGAACTCAGTTTTGGGTTCAATTATGTAAGTGCAGATACTTTGTTTCCTAATAAAATGTTCTTTAAGGAAGAATTCTTGCCTTGAAGTTCTTTTACTGGTTTCATATATCAGAACCATGACATTCCTCCTTCTACATCTGAACTCTAAAGAAAAGGAAAGGCACACTAAAAGCAAAAGTAAAAATAGCTGCTGATTCTCAGTTGTCAGAGCAACGACATCCATTGTCACAACATTGACACTAAATTCTGAAGGGAATTTAAAATCTAAACAAGAGATGGAAAATCAGGGTATTGATCTATCATGGTGGGCATATTTACAAATGCAAGTGAGATATGATAAAGATGTTAAATTGTATGGATTTTATAAAGAGCAAACCTTGTTTGATCAGATATTATTAACCTCTGATGAGAAATTAATTAAGAAAATGTATAACTTTTTATTGAGTTTGAAAATGGAAAATGAACAAGTAAAAGAAACAATGATAACATGGGCAAAGAATTTTGGCTACAATATAGATTTAGAGAAATGGCAAAACCTGTGGGAAAGAAATTATAAATTGACAATGTCAACTTCTTACAAAGAAAACTTACATAAAATGTTTTATAGATGGCACTTGCCACCAGCAAGATTAGCAAAAATATTTATATATGTCAGATAGATGTTGGAAATGTAAACACAAGTCAGGTACTTATTATCATGTATGGTGGACATGTGTTAAACCAAAGAGATACTGGAAAAAATACATACTTGGCTAGAAAAGATGTTGGGAAAACATGTAGATTTTAAACTTGAACTTTTTTTATTAGGTATAATGCCAGAGAAGCTTGACAAACAAAGTATATACTTGATTTTACATGTGATAACAGTGCCAAGAATCATATTCCTATTGGAAAAATGAAGAAATACCACCAGAGGAAGAAATAATAAAAAAATACTAGACTGTGCAGAAATGGACAGACTCACTCTGAGCTTGAAAGAAAAAGAAGAAACAGAATATTTTCAAACTTGGAACTTATTTTATCAATGGCTGGAGAAAAAAATAAGGGATTAGGAATTTAATTTGTATTAGTGAATGATGAACTCAGACAACATGTTTGTTGAAGTACTTTTGAATTGTATGAAAAAATCAATAAAAACTTTAAAAAAAATAATGGTGTTTAATACAAAAATTAATAACTAATAAATCAGTCATTAATAAAAGAATGATTGAGCTGTGAATAACAAAACAGGAATATGAAGAAATAATAAACTGAGTTGGATGGAGTTGATGAAAGCCTCAAAACAAGGAAAGTTTTAAAAAGCATTTTAGATTTAAATTCTTTCTTTCCTTTAGGAAGAAATAGGTTGGACAGAAACAGAGTGATTGGCTTGAAGTTTATTTATTTATTTATTTATTTATTTATTAAATTTATATCCCGCCCTTCTCCTTGCGGACTCAGGGCGGCTGACAATCGATTTAAAAAACATAAATAACAATTACAGAATTAAAATTAATTAAGAAGAAATATTTAAATATCGTCTAATTAAAATATGATTAAAACCCCTCTAAAAATTGCCCTAGGCCAGTCCCGCT